TAGGCAGATAACATTTGCTCGACATAGAAACAACAGAAAATGAAATAATTTATGTTATCCCGAGAAACCAGGGAATATCTTCATATCATAGATATTAGCATATCATCCTTATGCTAATGGAAGTATCCTTAACTGAACTGAACGACTTAGGAATCGACTTGTTACCAGGGAATAGTCTTATGGACTTAGAATATGCAGATGACATAGTCCTCTTAGGGAAGGATGCTGACGAAATAGAGCAGAGTCTTCTGAACACCTTGAGCAGCAATCTTCGTATGTTTGGCATGCGATTCATCCCTGTAGAATGTAAGATGCTGCTACAGGACTGGACTACGTCAACTCCCAGCTTAGTGATACGGAGTGAAGTGATAGAACATGTTGACCACTTCACCTATTTGGGAAGTTGTATCAGCACCAACGGATTGATTGGTGACGAAATCTCAGCACGGATCCAAAAAGCTCGGGCTGTTTTCGCTAACTTACACCATCTCTGGCGTAGGCGTGACATCCGGCTATCAACCAAGGGACGTGTGTACTGCTCAGTTCTCTATGGCTCTGAAACATGGCCAATACGAGTCGAAGACATGAAAAGGTTGACTGTTTTTGATCATAGATGTCTACGATCTCTTTCTCACGTTAGGTGGCATAATAAGGTAAGTAATGTTGACGTTAGGCGTAGAGTGTTGGTTGGGCAAAGAGGGAAAATCAATCGAAGAAGCTATTAAGTTACATAGATTGAGATGGCTAGGTCACGTGCTGCGCATGCCTAACCATCGCCTCCCCCTCCCGACGGGCATTACTAGCTGATATAGGTGCAGGTTGGAAAAGAGTAAGTGGTGGCCAAACAAAAACATGGCCTCATCAATCCATGAAATCCTTGACAGTTAAACTGAGTCAGGTAGGGAGATGCAGACTTCCGGGTTGGGGCCCGCCCTCGGGACTCTAAGAATCAATGGCTGGAGACAATAGGTGACATGGCTCAAAATCGTTGTCAATAGCTAGCGCAGATGTATTCAGTCTCTGGGTAATCTTTCATATTCCTTTCTATCATTACTGATTCTGTTTCACTCTTATACTTGTCAAAACTCTATTGATTCCCTTCACTCATTTTCTTGTCTTGTCTACCTTTGTGTGCTATTTGAGACGTGGCAACTGGAACTGCTGCACATCGGTTCAAAGTTCTATGTTGAATCCAGACAGACAGATATTCAGGTGTTACAAGTGTGATTCACAGTTAGGTATATAAAAAGCCGCTTACGAGTAACTTAGTTGTACACAATACTGTTGGGATTTTTAACAGTGAGTGATTTCTGTCTCCTGTACACTGTTTCTATGTCTCTTAAGGTGATTCATTTGAATCAGTTCTTTATGGCATGTATTCCAGCTCATTAGTGAATTTTAAAGTGGATTCTCCCTGCCTGATCAAGAATGTACTCTTTTCGTATGCTGAAAATCCTGGGTTCGAGTAGTGGTGTAGTCATAGGCACGTAGTGCATCATAAACAAGGAAAAGACAGTTTCTAGGGCTGACTCGTTTAAGTAGCCCTGCGTTAATTCATATGAAGTCTTTCAGTTGTATGCACGCTCAGGAAAAATTAGATGATGGCCTGAAGCAAAATACCCTTTCATACAGTCTTCAACGTACAAAATTTGTCAAATAGCTTGAGTTATTAGTGAAATTTCTGCTAACTACTTTGGAATGAATTAGTGTTGTCTAAAAGTTTAGAAATTCCTAGTCATCTTAGGCCTCATCAAATGTATAATGGATGTATAATCGTAAAAATCTGAATTCATGTGTTACGACTAACAATGTCGCCAACTCATTAAGGCAGGACTTAGTTCCCAGAACTAGTTCTCTATGTACCAGGCTATGGAACCACACTTATTTTTTTCACAGCTAATGATACTACCCAGTCGTTCGAACTAACATAGGCGGAGAGGGATTCCAGCCTGAGAACCACTGATTGTCTGTCTATTTTCGACACAGAATTTTGCACATATGTGCGGAAGTTCAAGTCGCCACACTCCCTTCTTGTAGCACACAAAACAAGAGAAAGTAGGAGAAATGCATAATAATGACAGTAAACAGAGGTGTGAGACAAAGGAATAGTAATAACGAAGAACAATATAGTTTCATTGGAAATCATAAGTCACAAAGAGTGGATACATCTGCGACAGCCATCGAGAACGATTTTGAGCCATATCACTAATTGTTTCCAGTCGTCATTGGTTTTTACCGTCCCGAGGACCCCAACCAACCAGGAAGCCAGTCTACACCTTCCTACGTGGCTGGTTGGCTTAAACTAACTGTTGTGGATTTCATTGACTGGTGAGGCCATGTTTTGGTTTGACCACCACCACCTCTTTTCCAGCCTGACTCTATGTCAGCTAACATTACCCGTCAGTCGAGGAAGGCGATAACTCGGCTAGGCATACGTAACACATGTCATAACCATCTCAGTCGATGTAATTTCACAGCCTCGTCGATTGATTTCCCCTCGTTATCCACCTAGCACTCGACTGATGCCTAACCTCAATATTGCTCACCATATTACACCACTTAACGCACACGGGAGATAAAACGCAGGCACTTATGATCAAAGACAGCTAATCTTTTCATGTCTTCCACTCTCAATGGCCATGTGTCACTCACAGCCATAAAGCAGGACGGAGCGGACTGATGAGCAGTACACCCGCCCTTTGGTCGACAGCCAGCCGGATATCACGTCTACTAAGCCAGAGACGGCGTAAACACGGGCATATGCGAAACTAGCCCTCTCTGTATCCACTGATTGAAAGTCAACTCTAAATATTCCCTTCACTTTTCCAAACTCTACAGTCTGTAAGGTACTCACTCACTCTGTAGCTAGTTTATTGACACAACACATTAATATACAGTCTACGGGGAAAACCAGACTTCTTTTCTCTTTTTTTTAAAAATGACTGCTTAACAAACAGCTTCGTGAACAGAGTAAAGCAACGAATACAAACTCCATAGATAATACACACACACACACACACACAAATTACACAGATCAATAATATCATATTGATATTCAATTAAAGTATACAGATGACAGATTAGTAGTGGTATGACGGCGCACCTGCTGACAATATCAAAACATTCATAAGACAAACAGACAGACACACAGGCAGATAGACAGACAAACAACCAAACAAACAACATGAATAAACGTTGGCTAAATTAAATTTTAAAGTTGAACAAGTTTTATTAATACAACTAACTAACTAACTAACCTTTATTATGCACTGAGAACCATTAGGTTTCATACTATGCGTGAAAATCTCATTCAACCGATCTGATTTCATGAGTAATATTAGGATAATGCTAAAAATAAAATCCAGTGTATTTAAAGAAAGCAAAAATTTTTGTTTCTTACGTTATGGTGACTCCAGTGCATAAGAGTAAATAATTCAATGTGCATATTTTAGACATCAAGAGATAGAGAATCGATGATGACTAGTGCTGAGAAGTTATCTCTCGATATTTTATTACACGTTACAAAAGTATTTGTATGCTTGTTGCGTCACTCAAGGTGATCAGATCGATGGAGTTTGATTTGGAGAACTCATCCAATAAACCTAAAGAATAAATTATATAAAATTGATTAGCGTAAATATTATGCAGTTCACGCGTGTATATATATATATATATATATATATATATAAACCAATAAGATGAAGTGATTATGCTACTTTGTATGGCTGACGACACAGCTAATAAGCATTTTGAAATTTAAAGTTTTGAGTGTGATTATTGTCTTCTTTAGTTCCTAGAGAAACATAGGGCTTCAGCCACACGTCTCCATCCATTGCGTTCGGTTCTTTGCTAACACTTTCACCTTGTATATATATCTGCCCACAAGCTTTTATCTCCTCTTTACATGACCTCCTCCACTCCATGTCACCCTCGCAATGACGATCAACTAACTCGCTGCTTCCCATTCGGGTTCCACTCGAGCAATGGCCTGGCGTGTGATGTCACTCACATGATAGTGGTTTGTTTTCTCAGAGTATGGCCTCCAATCCATCTACCTTCATTTCTTCTTGCATATTTGTTGCACAATTGGTTCCTGATGGGTTGGTTCGTTCATTGCCAGAGATCCATCCCTGTTGCTGATCTTTCCTGGCTGGCCATTTGATTTTGAGTAATATTGGGTGAAGACAGCTGTTGATGAAGGTGTGTAGCTTGTTCAAAGTGCACTTCGTGACGCGGCGTGGCGCCAAGTCTCTGATCCGTATAGTAGTATAACAACAGAAGGCAAGGGCCAGGCAACAGATCGTTTATTGAGGAAATCAAAGCATGTTTATATATTTTCATGTACATTATTATAGTTTAGTTAAGCAAACAAACACAGTCTTCTGATTGGTTGTTTCTCACTTAAAGTTAATCTTTCATCTCTTTGTGACTGTTTCTTGAATGTCAGATCATCTATATGTTAACTGTATCCGCCTACGCAAAGTCTGCTGTGGTCGGTTTTGAATCAATCTTTGTTCATATTTTCTCACGACAAATCTTGAGAACGTAAACATTGACGTAAATTACTGTCTACTAATTTGGCTAGTAGACAGCTCTCACCACAGTAGCACTGGCTTCTTATCGGAGTTGAAAATCTGGATCTTACTTTTCATGCTGAGAAATGCTGTTGACCTCCACACAGACTTGAGAGTAATGAAAGCTTGCCTGACCTTCCCAATCCTCGCTTTGATATCCCAATAAGTTCCATCCGCCTGTAGTTGAAACGATGTTTCCCAGGTAGGTAGATAGGTAAAGGAGGTTGTTTCTTTCAGATTCCTCCCATTTACACTGACTGTTGTCTGTTGTTGTTGCAGTTGGCCAGGAGTCTTCATCACCTCCGTTTTCTCTATGTTCACCTGAAATCCTATCTTTGAAGCTTTTCTGCCAACTTGTTGCATTTCACTTGCATACCTTCCAGTTTGTGGGAAATCAGACATTTAGTATCACCGCCGAAATCCAGGTCCTCCAAGCTTTTAGTGTATGTCCATTTTATGCCTGTCCCCTCGTTGCCCGGCCCGCTGTCTGTCTGTCGCACTATCCAGTTTACTGCAATCAGGAAAATCATTGTCTTACTCCCGTCTTCACTTCGAAGGAACACGTGAGCTTCCCACTGTAGATTATTTGGCATGCAGCATTGTCGTACAACTGTTGGATGAGATGTATAATTGTCGGCGGCACCCCTTGGTAGTAGCGAAGTAGTTTCCGAATCACCCCTCTCGATCGACGCTGTCAAAGGCGATGAAGTTGAGATAGAGAGCTGACTGACACTCCGAGCTCTGTTCAATGATGATCCGCAGTGTTGCGATTCGATCGATGCATAACTTTTTTTCCTGAATCCAGCCTGTTCCGGTCGAAGTTTTTCATCCAGGATGGCGTGTTTGATTCTCTCCAGGAAGATGCTTGAGAATTTCGTTACTACTACTACTACTAATTATAAGTTTGCCAAGTTTAAAGATTTTAAACTCATAAATCTTAAAATATCTCTACCATTCAGAAGTCTCTGATAACCAAAAAGATTTTGAGTTTTTTTTCTTTTGTCAAACATTAACACTTTGAGACAACTGTGATATCATTAAACTTCATTAAGGGTGGATGTTAACTGTTCAACCATACTTCATTTATCACAGGTGTTATGTGATGTTAGGTATAGTGTTAGGGGTAAGGAGAGTAAGTCAATCAATGAGGTTATGAAGCTATATCGATTAATATGGGGTTAGGGCAAGTGTTATGCATGTGAACCCGTTGCCTCTGTTGTTGAGAAATGTTAGGTGAGATACGATTACAGTTTGGAAAAGAGTTAGGTCTTGTCAAACAAGAATCTGAAATCAATATTTCTGAAGTCTGACTGGTGATCTGAGCCAGGCGTGACATCCGGCTATCAACCAAGGAACGTGTGTACTGCTCAGCAGTTCGCTCCGTCCTTCTCTATGGCTCTGAAACATGGCCAATACGAGTTGAAGGCATGAAAAGGTTGACTTTTTGATCGTAGATGTCTACGATCTCTTTCTCACGTTAGGTGGTATATTAAGATAAGTAATGTTGACGTCAGGCGTAGAGTGTTGGTTGGGCAAAGAGGGAAAATCAATCGAAGAGGCTATAAAGTTACATAGATTGAGATGGCTAGGTCGCCTCCCCCGACGGACGGGCATTACTAGCTGATATAGATGCAGGTTGGGAAAGAGTAAGTGGTGGCCAAACAAAAACATGCCATCAGTCCATGAAATCCTTGACAGTTAAACTGAGTCAGCCAGGGAGATACAGACTTCCGGGTTGGGGCCCTCGGGACTCTAGGAATCAATGGATGGAGACAATAGATGACATGGCTCAAAATCGTTGTCAATGGCTAGTGCAGATGTATTCAGTCTCTGTAATCTTTCATATTCCTTTCTACCATTACTCATTCTGTTTCACTCTTATACTTGTCAAAACCCTATTGATTCTCTTTACTCATTTTCTTGTCTACCTTTGTGTGCTATTTGTAACGTGGCGACTCGAACTGCTGCACCTCGGTGCTAAGTTATATGTTGAATCCAGACAGACGGACAGATTTGAGCCAGCGACGTAGGAGGGCTTTATCGCAGTTAATAATTTGTATGAGCAATGGAGGTTTCCGTGTTTAAACATCGCAAATAGAGCAAAAATAGATATCCGCAGAAACTGAAATCAATAAGATTGTTAGTGTATTTAGTAATACAACTTAAGTTAATACTAGAAATAAGTAGTTGTCAATTTACATATTATCTAATAATTTAGCTAGTTCTTTCTTGACAATATCCTCTTCACACAACTTATTGGATTTTCAACGTATAACTTTTCAGAGAAGTGCAGCATTTCATTTTGCCACAAAGATAGCAACAAAAAAAACGATATCCAAAAGAACCACGAGAAAGTAGAAATGTAAGGGAGAAAGAATAGTAACACGGAGAAACCTAAGGGTATAATGGATACAGGAGATTACAAAGAGAGAATACACCTACGTCACTGAGAACATTTTTGAACAATATCACACTAACGGTCTGCAACTATTATTTCTTAGTGTTATGAGGACCCCCTCCCAATCAGGCAGTTTACACCTCCCTAAGTGGCTATCTCAGGCCAATAATAATAATCAAAGACTTCATAGGTTGATTCCAAGCTTTGATTTGACTACCCATAATTCTTTTCCAAACTAATCCTACATCACCTAAGATCTCTCAATACGAAAGTCAATGGCTGCACATGAATGGCACATATCCTAGACATCTCAATAAAATCACCTTCACGACCTCATCGACTGATTTCGCTTTATTACCTAACACTGTCTAACCTTGTCTGTCTGTATTCGACACTTTGCACCGATGTGTAGCAGTTCAAGTCGCCACACTCCATGTAGCACACAAAGCAAGAGAAGAAATGCAAAATAGAGACAGTAAACAGAGGTGTGAGACAAAGGAATAGTAATAACGAAGAACAATATAGTTTTATTGGAAACCACAAGTCACAAGGAGTGGATGCATCTACGACAGCCATCGAGAACGATTTTGAGCCATATCACCAATTGTCTCCAGCCTTCAGAGGTTTAACCGTCCCGAGGACCCCAACCAGTCAGGAAGTCTACACCTTCCTACGTGGCTTAGACTAACTGTTGTAGATTTCATTGACTGGTGAAGCCATGTTTTGGTTTGACCACCGCTAGCTCTTTTCCAGTCTGACCCTATGTCAGCTAACATTGCCCGTCAGTCGAGGAAGGCGATGACTCGGCTAGGCAGACGTAATACATGTCCCAACCATCTCAGTCGATGTAATTTCACAGCCTCGTCGATTGATTTCCCCTCGTTATCCACCTAGCACTCGACTGATGCCTAACCTCAATATTGCTCATCTTATTATACCACTTCACACGGGAGATAGAACACAGGCACTTATGATCAAAGACAGCTAGCCGGCCTTTCCATGTCTTCCACTCTCAATGGCCATGTGTTACTCACAACCATAAAGGAGGACGGAGCGGACTGATGAGTAGTACACCCACCCTTTGGTCGACAGCCAGCCGGATATCACGTCTACGCCAGAGACGGCGTAAACTGGCACCACCAAGTCTACGCAGTATTATTGAGCCTAGGACTTTAGACACTATATTAGTCAAGCTAATCCCTCTGTGATTATCACAGGAAGACTTGTCGCCCTTCTTGTATATCGGGCTGATCAGTGACACCAACCCGGTGGGACTCCCTCTGATTCCCAGACGCTGCCTAGTACCTCAGTTAGTGCAGACAGTAAACTGTGTACTCCGTACTTAAATACTTCTGGAGTCATTCCATCAGGTCCTGCTGCCTTGCTTTGTTTCAGACTGGTGACAGCTTTAGTAACCTCAGTTAGGGTGGACGGGGGATCTGTGTCTATATCCCATTCAGGGAGGTGGTGGATGTTCGGCAGGT